TAAAAAAAAAAATAAAAAAAAAAATAAAAGAAAGTAAAATAACTTAGATAAATTTTTTATTAAACCCACACACAAAGCCGTCTCCAGCCATTATTAGTCTCAAAGTGGATTCCTCGTCATCGAATATGATATTTGTTTGTGTTATTTCGTACAAAGTTACACGAGGGCTATCTGCGCTAGTTGTTCATAATTTTGAAGTGATAGATTAGAGAGAAGGCAGCAACGCCCATCGTCGATTCTTGGGCAATTTTTCTACAACCGAATAATGGGATTGACCGGCAAATTATAACGCTCCCGTTTTCGGTGACGGGATTCGAACCTATGACTCGCACATTGCGAGTTGAGTGCCCTAATCACCAGGCCCTTAAAATAATGTAACAATATTATGCGCTACACATTATTAAAGAAAGTTAATCTTTGATGTTAATATTAGGCATAAAAGAATTAAAACTGTGCTATAAGAAATGTCCAATTTCCCCTAACACTACTACCGTATTATAAGTCTTATTTACATACGAAAACAAAATCTAACCCAACACCATACCTAGGATTACAAATACACCATAAAATATTGTGTTTTGAACTTTATTATAAAATAAACGTATGATAACTACCCCCCTGTTTCATAAAGAATTTTATTTATCACATTGTCTGTTAATTAGTGATATCCCCAAGAGGCGCTATAACGCTAAAACCGGATTTCTTTATCCGTTGTGAACACAGCATACATAGCCCATTAGGTAGCCATGAGCTTAACGACAAACAAAATTAAGATTACATTACGACCGGCATTTTCAACCCAGTTGTGAAGAAAATATTACATTTAAGTATTTTTATTTTATCATTCTTGAACTTCAATTGGCTTAGATGGTTTTAAATTTCAGATCAAGCTACCTTTTTAAACGTATATTAAATTAAATAAAACATTGACAGCATGATTTGTTTCCCAAACTTCGTGACTAGTTTTAAACAAGTTTGTTATCATCAATAAACTTTCCTCCATTTAATTCTCGTAGAAGATGAAGAGTCAAAATACTAATATTCCAAAAGCAAACAAAACAAAAAACGTCACCTATTGTTTACGTGATGAATCTGTTTTCACAAAACACGTATCATTGAAGTTCTTGTGTTCTATTTTTTTCTAGAATGTTTTACTTTAAATATAAGTTTTGTATAAAAAAAAACATGAAATTGTAGGAAGTGTAGAACAACTAAAACTGGTGAAAGCAAAGTATTCCGAGAATAAAAACAACAAGAAAGATACAAATATTAAACAAAATAACTGTTAAAAAGCTGGATCTATTATTATTTGAGCAGTTAAGCTGAGAAACATGAAGGACAAAATAACGATGATATATTTAGTAAACATCCAAGTCGTTCTCTTTAGTCACGGATTTAAACTTTGATTATTTCTCAGGAACTCTTTTCTCAACGGGTTTGTGTTAGTAAAGGATTTTTCAGAGTGTACTTGCGTTCCCATTTTAATAAACACAACCTATTTGAAAACTTAAAAAAAAAATCCTTTGGAATAATTTTTGTCATCACAGAGAACTTAGTTTTTTTTTCAACCTTATGTTTATGCTCCTTCTAAATTATTAGTATAATTTACGGATATAATAACTTTCGAAGAAAACAGGTCATTTATCTGTACAACACGCCAATAAAAATTGAACTTATTCTTCTTATTCGCGTATTAGCTTCACCTGTTTTTAAAAAAGCATATCGTATAACTGAGGAATGTTGTAATTTTTTCTCGAGAGCTATTTTAGGTAATGAATTTCAATAGAGTCACTATCCCTCTACCGTCCGTAATTGTTTGATGCTACTTGACATGCAATTTTTATATTTCATTATTATCTATTTCACTCGTTTGACAAGAACGACAAGCAACTATTAACTCGTTTCTGTTTTAAAAATTCGTTTATGCGGACTACCCGAAAGTGTTGGATATTTACTTGCGTTTTGTTCTTTAATGAAAGGTCGGTCATCGTTTTAAGACGCATGTGCGGACAACTCGTAAATTTGGCCATCTGAGGAAACGTTCGACTTCCACCAACTCAGTATAAATAGAGCTTCAGATGGGTCTCTTCATCACTCGCTTATGATTCAACATTCCACCATCTCAGCCATGGTTGTCCCAAAGGTAAACTGAATTCATGTTATACTTTCTGTTGTTTAACCTCAAACTTAATGATTACTTAGAATAGTGTCTTACTGAAGACATAAACCTTTGACAAGTGTTTCATTGCATTTTAGCGACATTATGTAAATAAGTCAGGATTTCTTGGACTAAAACATCATCATTGAACAGACATAGCAGATTTAATTTGAATACTTCCTATAAAGTTATTATTGTTGCGTTCAACGTTCAGATTTGTACTTTCTGGTAGGAATCCTTTTTCACAGCGATAGTGTGGATGTAAGGTATATTATTTTATGTTATTACGTTCCGGAATACCTACTAATATTGATTACTTTCTCTCTCTAGGTGTTAGTTGTGTTTTCTCTCAGTCTTCTGGTATTGACAGTTTGGGCTGATGAAAGTAACCAGGCTGTAGAGACGGGAGATCTAGAAGCCGAAGCTACAGGCCATGGTGGATATGGAGGTGGTGGAATCGGTTTGGGCGGATATGGAGGCGGTGGAATCGGTGTGGGCGGATATGGAGGCGGTGGAATCGGTTTGGGTGGATATGGAGGTGGTGGACTCGGTTTGGGCGGATATGTTGGAGGTTTCGGAGGTGGATATGGTGGAGGATACGGAGGTGGGTATGGTGGTGGAGTTGGAACATTTCTTGCTATTCCAATTGGCGTCGCTCATGCCCGTGTAGTAGGAGTCGGTGGACTTGGTGGTTACGGTGGTTTCGGTGGACTTGGAGGTTATGGTGGATTTGGCGGAGTTGGAGGTTATGGTGGATTTGGCGGAGTTGGTGGTCGTGGTGGATTTGGCGGAGTTGGAGGTTATGGTGGATTTGGCGGAGTTGGAGGTTATGGTGGATTTGGCGGAGTTGGTGGTCGTGGTGGTAGAGGACATCACAAGGGATGGGATTAATCAGACTGAAGTAAGGACAATTACAGTGTTTCCTTTGAAATTGAAGCATCTTTATTTTAAAAAAAAATCATATTTACAAGTTGTTAATGCTGCGCGTTGATTGATTTCTTTGACACACTTGTTTGATGTAATGTACAATGTAAGTTTTAAGATAAGGTTTTTCATTTACAAATACTCAAGATGTGTGGCTGATGCAAACGTGTATATAATTATAACATAAAAATGATTTTTTTTTTCAGATGAGATTTTAAAAGCAGATGACGTGCTCTGGTAAGAGTTCTGGACAGTATATTTACTGTATAATTTTCTCCATTTTCTCGACAAGACTGAGGCAGTCAAATCCGATTTGTCACACCTTATTTTAAACGCTTCACTTTTTGTTTACACTAAATGAATTCTAATGAACATTTGGTTTGTTCAGAGTCTATACTTCTGATGAAAAAAAAAATTAAACAGGTTATATTTTGCTACTAAAAATAAAGTTTATTAGTATGGATTTTTATCTTTGAGTTATATTTTATACACAAGTAATTGTATGAGCAATTGACTGTAACAGAATCGACCATTATCATTATCTCCTTCTACAAGATAGAAACTCATAAAAGCCGGAAACAAAATTCACCCACTGTTAAATCCAAATATAACTAGACTAAATAAAACTGAAACAATATTCACTCAATGTTTAGTCCAAGTATAACTAGACTAAATAAAACTGAAACAATATTCACTCACTGTTAAGTCCAAATATAACTAGACTAAATAAAACTGAAACAATATTCAGTCACTGTTAAATCTAAATATAACTAGACTAAATAAAACTAACTCTATTTACGTGATTAGACCAATTACAGAGATGGGAAAACAGGTAATGGAAAAAAAATTAAACTGCAAACTTTATAGCATTTTTATATGTTGAGATAGTGGAATTGTTGGTAGTCAAGTGACGAGAATTTTATGAAATAGAAATATTTTCTACCAAAAACATGATAAGATCAACAAAAAGTAAAAACTCAGACTAAGAATGCTCTTCAGTAGATTAAAATATTTGTAGGTTTGTGGGAACGGTGAAAAGAATAGTGAATACGCATCGAGTTTGTGAATCAGCTCTGTATTTATTAAAACTAATAAAGATAATGATAGGACACAAGAAAAAAAAACGATTTTTGTATATACCGCTCAAATATGGAAAAGCAGTCAGTCTTTTTAAAGAAACAAGCATTAGGTAAGTTCCTTAACGTTATAAAAAAGCTCATTTTAACACTTTTGGATGTAAGCGCTAAATATAGCGTTAATCAGCCTTGATCTGTACGTACAGTGTTGATATTTCTCAACCATGACAGAGATTTTATCATCAAGCAAATATGATCACTACTCTCAAATATAAGTGTTAGAGGCAACGAACATAAGATACGATAAATACAGCCGTGCAAGACAGTGTTGTCCATGTTATGTAAAACATGGTTAATACTGTCAACCATGACAGTGCTGTCCACTTTCTGTAAAACATGATGAATACTGTCAACCATGACAGGGTTGTCCACGTTCTGTAAAACATGATTAATGCTGCCAACCATGACAGTAATGTTCACGTTATGTAAAACATGATTAATACTGCCAAACATGACAGTGTTGTCCACGTTCTGTAAAATATGATTAGTACTCTCAACGATTACAGTGATGTCCACTTTATGTAAAACATCCTTAATGCTGTCAACCATTACAATTTTTCCACGTTATGTAAAACATGGTTAATAGTATCAACCATTACTATGTTGTCCACTTTACGTAAAACATCCTTAATGCTGTCAACCATGACAATGTTGTCTACGTTCTGTAAAACATGCTTAATACTATCAACCATTACAGTGTTGTCCACGTTCTGTAAAACATGCTTAATACTATCAACCATTACAGTGTTGTCCACGTCCTGTAAAACATGCTTAATGCTGTCAACCATTACAGTGTTGTCCACGTTCTGTAAAACATGCTTAATACTATCAACCATTACAGTGTTGTCCACGTTCTGGAAAACATGCTTAATACCATCAAACATGACATTTATGTGGACAGCTAGGTAATTCTTTTCAAATTATTATACCATCTGACACTAGTTTTGATATTTAGCTTCAGAAAAATCCAAATTCATTGGTTGAATGACGTAACAGACGCGGTATAGCAATATCTAAACCTAGAGTGTGTTCTTCATCAGTAAAGCGAGTTTTCTATACATACAACTTCAACTGATGTTCTTCACCGACCTGGTCAACAGAAATTATAGAGAAATTAATGAATACGATTTTCAAGTGGGTATACAGGAAGATGAAAGAAAAGAAGAAGAAGAAACCATCACGTTTACTTGTTATTATCATATACAACGAACGAGTTAGTGATGAAAACATAACCGCTTAGGTCAACCAATCATAAAGCAGCTGAAATACCATTTGTGGTTGATTATAATGGGGAATCAGGACATGCTTTTGTAGAGGTTTTTTATTGGTTATTACTAGGGCTTCCTTTAATTTTTCTTTTAAAGTTGTGTGAAGATGAATGTTTCTTCTCGTCGCATCTCCTATGATTCATTTCACATAATTTCTAAGGAAAACAGTAGTTGTCAAAGAAAAATATAGGTAGCCCTGTTAATAAGTAACAAAGAAAACACCCTCTATGAAAAATATTTTTATCCACCAATGATACATTTCTTCAATTAAATTATTGTATTTCTAAATCTAATTTTCCAACTCTCACCCCTACGTTGTACGTGATGATAAATAAACCTCTATACTTTAGATATAGTTTCGTCTTTCCCTGTAACGTGAGTCTCCTATGGATACAGTATTGTTGACCAACATGATCAAACTGATGCCCTTTGTTGTGTTTGAAAGTATTCAAAGGAACAGTTCATTTCACCACAGAAGCAAGACAGAGATTACACCTATTGTAACAAATCATGACGAAGCGCTAAAGAATATTTCATTTGTTAGATCAGTTTTTGGGTTTATTTTATTCGTGTTTCTGGTTAATTATATACTGTTCTTAATTTTATTAAATTCCCGATCTATGAATCTGTGTTTCGCCAGTTTAAGAATACTCATTTAATTTATTTTATAGCCTGTACTACATAGACGTACTTACGATGGTTGTATGAAAATGGTTTAATGTTTCGTTTTATTTAATAATAAAGTGCTTTTATTTTGTTTATTCCAAGTTTTAATTTATTTACTCAAATACTTGTTCTTCTTTTTACTTCAGGAATCGAATACGAAACTGGCAAACCATTTTAAGTTTACAGAGTCAAGAATATCAGACACCTTGTTCCTGTGGCTCGGCAGTAAGCTTAAATACTTATACTCTTATAAATCGAGTTTCGATCCCTACAGTGGAAACAGCGCAGTTGCCTCATTATGCGAGCCTCGTTATCAAATAACTTCAAAAAACATGAAAATCGAATTACGCTACAGTAAACATTCACTAGAACCATTATTTGCAGGTTATTCAAGCTTATCAGTTGATACTGAGTGTTATTCATGTTTATCAGTTGATTACTGAGTGTTATTCAAGCTTATCAGTTGATACTGAGTGTTATTCATATTTATCAGTTGAGACTGAGTGTTATTCATGTTTATCAGTTAATTACTGAGTATTATTCATGTTTATCAGTTGATTACTGAGCGTTATTCATATTTATCAGTTAATTACTGAGTATTATTCATGTTTATCAGTTGATACTGAGTGTTATTCATATTAATCAGTTAATTACTGAGTATTATTCATGTTTATCAGTTGATACTGAGTGTTATTCATGTTTATCAGTTGATTACTGAGTGTTATTCATGTTTATCAGTTGATAATACGTTTTAAGTTAGAAGACTTATTCGACTTTATCGAAGTTTTCACAATTTAACAAATATATATGTAATCCTCTAACGACGCATGATACGTGACATACACCATAAAACACCTCTCTTGTGCAACCCTAAAAATACACTAATTAAAGGCTTAATTTATTTTATCTGTAAAGAATAAAAATGTACTTTTTTTATGAGATTCGCTGTTGTAATTTACTTGGGTTAAACTTTCAATCGCTAGTTTATTTTAGTTAAAAAAAATAAGAATACTAATTTTTACGTATGTTGACTAACAAATATTGTAAGAACCCACGTTGTCAAAAACATTGAACTGTCAGCATTTTATACATTCAAATTTCGTAGGCCCGGCATGGCCAGGTGGTTAGGGCGCTCGACTCGCAATTTGCGGGTCGCGGGTTCGAATCCCTGTCACACCAAACATGCTAGCCCTTTCAGCCGTGGGGGCGTTATAATGTGACGGTCAATCCCACTATTAATGGTAAAAGAGTAGCCAAAGAGTTGGCGGTGGGTGATGATGACTAGCTGCCTTTCTTCTAGTCTTACATTGCTAAATTAGGGACGGCTAGCGCAGATAGCCCTCGTGTAGTTTTGCGCGAAATCCAAAAAACAAACCATCAAATTTCGTCCAATATGTGTTTGTATTATTGATATTTTTTATAAGAACAATAACACTTCTAAATCCCAATACCTTCTTTAGATACTTCGTCTGGATCAGTAATAAAATATTTTACTGCGAAACATTATGTTTATTATATTTCAAGAACGTAAAAAAAAACAACTTTTTAACGTTCACATTAGACCTGTAGGTTATCAAAAACCTTTGTGAATCTTGTCTGGAAAGCCTAAAAAAAACTGTATATTCTTTGAATTCTCAAAACCTGAAAATGAGGTCACACAAAGTAACCCGACTAGTCGCGCTGAGGTCTAAATCATGACGACATCTGGGGTCGATGGAAGTTTAAGCATAAGAGGGAGGAATGACATCTAGTGGGTTTTTCTGTTCTATAAATCAGTCGAGAGTGTAAAAAAAATGATCACAAGAGAATATTAAACAGATAAAACTTCCTGAGTATTCAGTCAAACTTGACTACCATGTTCTAAATCGTTTCTTAGATGTGTGTAGGATTATAAGTA